TATTTTGAACATAGCTTCGGTAGAGCGTAGACGTGAATGAAACTCCATATCGTTGATTTTATCTTTAAATATATACAAAACGTGACTATATACAGCTATAACGTAAACGTAACTTGTTAGCCCATCATAAACTTGTAGCGTGACTTTATCGTAACTTCACTACTTCAAACAACTTAACCTTACAATATAGGGCGTGAATATATAACGTAAGAAGACTGGGACGAGTAGGAATCCCCCATGATGGCTTGGGCTGCGAAATATATTGACTTCACAACATACTCCCCCGATTGAGTTGCCTGCACTCAATTTACAATAATACATATTAATTAATCATTATTCATCAACAAAACGTAAGAACATTTTTTTTAAGCAAGCTGAAACTGTAAGCGTATACATATTGAAATATTTACATATTGTCTCTTCTAAGAAACTCTCCTAACTTTGCAGCTGCGCGCTTAGATCGCGTAATAGTTCTATCTGCTGGCTGCGCAGGCGCTATAGGTGCGTTGACTTGATTTGCTTCTGTGTTAGGTTCCTTACATGCAATTTCTAAAGGTACAAGTAATTTCAAGGGACGTCTAAATACTTTACCCTTACTCCTTTCACCTGCTATCTGGATCTTTGCTGATCTTACTCTTCCATCTGTACAATCATTATGTACAATCTGTTCAATCAACTCAAGAATTTTACATAATTTCCAAAAAGTGCGTTTTGTATCGTCATCCTTTAAAAGAACTATATCTCCAACCGATATGACTGGCTCTTCCCGTTTGTCTTTCGGTCTATAAGCTTCCATAATACCTGTTAAATATTCCTTCTTCCATCTCTTCGTGAATTGTTGAAGTAGAGTCTTATGATACTTGGCTCGTTTTGAAAGAACCTCGTATGTACTTAGCATTTCATAGTACCTGTCTTGGGGCAAAAGTGATAGATTTCTTCCATTAATTAATTGACACGGTGTCAATGGATATGAAATACCGTCAGTGTCATCATATACATAAGTAATTGGCCTAGAGTTGATTACTGCTTCAACCTCTATCAAGATGGTATTTAATTCTATTTGCGTTAGGTATGACCGACCTATTACCTTTTTTAGACAACGTTTTACGCTCCTTATTAACCTTTCCCAAGCACCTCCTTGCCATGGGCTTCTATCAACTATGAATTGCCACTTAACTCCCTTCTTTTCAAGGCTTTCACCTAACCTAGGGGAACGCAAAAGATGTTTTACATCCTTTGAAGCTGACTTAAAGGTCTTGGCGTTGTCACTTACCAATAGAGACGGTAAACCTCTACGTGCTGTGAATCTTCGAAACGCTCGTAAAAATGACTCGACATTGAGCGATTCTACAAGTTCTAAATGAACTGCTCTTGTCGACATACAACTAAAAAGACAGACATAAAACTTCTCTTCTCCATCATTGTTACCTTTACTGGCAACTGTCAATGGACCTGCAAAGTCTAGCCCTGTATTTGCAAATGGGGGCTGATCATCGACCCTCATTCGTGGCAAGTCTGGACAAAATACAGTAGAATATGGCAAACCTTCTAATTTCCTACATGTGATACATTTGCGTACAATACTTTTTACTAATTCCCTTGCACGAGGAATCCAATACTTTTGTCGTAAAAGATTTAACGTTTCCCTTATTCCATCGTGCATGACTTTTTCGTGGCAATAGAGAACAAGCAATTTAGAAACCTGATGAAACTTCGGTAACAAGATTGGTCTTATGCTTGACTCTATGACGGATGCATTTTTTATACGACTTTGACACCTCAAAATGCCCTTTTCGTCTACGAAGAGCTGAAATTGCGAAACGTACAAAGGGGTTTTTTGTCCCCTTTTGATTGTAAATAATCAAATTCCTTACAAAAGAATTCACCTTGAATTGAGCGTATAAGAACATTTTCTGCGTTAGCAAATTCTTCTATATTTATCTGATTTTCTCGTTGACAAGCATTGTTTTTTAACGATGCGCGTAAATTATGTATAAAACGAAGTACCCATGCTAATATACGGACACATTTTTGGTAAGAACCAAACCTTTCAAAATCTACAACGTTGCCAACTTTTTCCTTAGTTGCTAAAGCATGCGTGATATTGGGGCTACATTTTACTCTTTCCTCTAAAGCGGAACCGGATTCGAAAATATCTTCTTGCTTAGGCCATTTTGTGGGTGGCTGTTTTAGAAACCCCGGACCCTCCCACCAAAAAAGATTTTGCTCTAACTTGGGACCAAATATACCCCTTGACGGTAAATCAGCTGGGTTTTGAGATCCCGGGCAATAAAACCATTCATCGCGGCTTGAAGTTCGTAAAATATCCGACACGCGATGGCGTACAAATTGCTTCCAAACCTTATTGTTCTTTATCCAGCAAAGAGTGCAAACCGAATCTACCCAATAAAATACTTTGATAGGCGTGCCGTGAAGCTCCTCCCCAAGAGTACCTTTTACTGTGCTGATTAATTTTGCGAGTAACTGTGCCCCTAAAAGCTCTAAACGTGGTATGCTTTGTTTTGTTAGAGGACAAACCCTGGCCTTGGCAGTGATAAACTTGATGCTTACCTCCCCCGTATCGTACACAATGCGGAGATAAACAATTCCAGCGTAAGCAGTCTCGCTGGCATCTGAAAACCCATGTATTTCGACTTGGCTTACTATTTTACCTGGGTCAAAGAAACATCTTGGCATGCGAATCCCGTCTAAACGACTTATTTCCGAAATGAAACGATCATATTTTTCCCTTGCTTCTCCTGTAAGCTCTTCATCCCACCCCCATTTGTCTACGCAAAGTTCCTGAAAGAGCACTTTCAAATTGATGGTATACACACTAAGACAACCGATCGGGTCAAAAATCTTGGCTGCTAACTTTAAAAGAGAGCGTTTTGTGGGCTTAAGTGTTTTTGCTAGTTCTATAATTGACCCCAGATCAAAAAACAGTTCATCCTTTTTACTTTCCCAATTTACTCCAAGGACCTTGTTATTATTTTCCCTTTGAGGTGGGCCTATTGTTTGCTGAGCGAAGGATTGATCATCTTGTATGATCTCCTTCGCATTATCACCATTGGGTACGTTACCTGCTTCCACCTTTTTGATTTCATGTAACAAAGCTGTGTCATTAGTTTTAAATTTGCGAAGGTTAAACCCACCTTCGGACAAAATCTCCCGTGACTTATGGAAAATCTCTAACGCCTCATCAATAGAATTTGTGCTACATGATAAGTCATCAGCATAAAGCCGATCTAACACTTTAACAACACGAGGAAATCGATTAGCATATTGAGCAATGTGTTTCTTAATTGTGGCTCCCAGTATAGATGGCGATGGTCTTAAACCAAACACCAGTCTACAATACTTATATTGAATAACCGTTGGATTCGGCTTACTAATGTCGTCATACCACAAAAAACGTAAAGCATCCCGGTCTTTTTCATCAATTTCAATCTGAAGGAATGCCTTTTCAATATCAGCTACTATAGCAATGGCATGTGAGCGGAAATGTAATAACGTATCGAATAATGGCGGCATGTAATTATCACCAAGTTCTAAACATTCATTAAGAGATAAAGCTTCCTTGTGCGATTTCGCACTTCCATCAAAAACAACACGAAGTTTTGTTGTTTCACGATCTCGTCGAATTACACCATGGTGACTCATAAAATGAGGATTACCCTGATTCTCCTCCTCCACAGGGACTTGCTCAATTATTCCGTTGTTTAATTGCTCTTTGAAAATGTTATCATATTCAGATAATAATTCAGGGTTTCCTTTTAACCGGCAAAGCAAAGATTTTAAGCGATTTAATGCCAAGTTATAATCATCATTAAGGCAAGATATATCAACCTTCCAAGGAAGGCTTACCTGGTACCTTTTACCATTAAAGGTGATTTCAAATTGCTCGTCTTGTTTGTCTTCATTTGTGGGTTCACTCCCCTTGTCAATCCCGGATGATTCTTGTTTCCAAAACTCGCGAAGCGTTTGTGTTATTTCCTCATTTTCTTCGACAGGCCTTCCAACTGACGTATCTAAAATCAAATTAGAAGTCACTTTAGAATAGGTTTTAGGCTCCAAGGATCCTGGTACTTTTCCCGAAAGTAGCCATCCTAATTTGCTACTTACTGCTATTGGCCCTGATGTACCTCTAATAACATCACCAATGATTACATCATACAAATAATCATTACCAATAAGCAAATCAATGCGCCTATTTTGCTCGCTTAGCTTCTTGTCCGCTAGATTAAGGCCTATCAAATGCTGATACTTGCTTACGTCTATGCGCGTATTTATAGGCGAACAAATAGACTGATAGCTTATGGCGCTTATCAAAATTGGCGTCTCATCTATTCCTGTCTCTAACATTAACCTAACGACGTCACATTTCTTGCGTGCTGATTTCTCAGCTCCAAATGTGTTCAAATTTAAGTTTTCCTGTCTTTCGACTTCCAAATTTAGTTTTCGTCTGACTTCTTCAGAGATGTAGCTTCGTTGGCTCCCACTATCGAAGAAAACATTGATTTTCATCCTCTGAGCCTTGTCTGCCCCATAAACATACGCAGTGGCCGTCTGCAGCAATACTTCTTGTTTTCCTGTAACACTGGTAGTTACTTTTGTTTCTTCCTCCGTTTGTTTTGCTCCTTTGTAGCAAATTGACTCGTGGTGAAAATTTCTGCCACATTTTCTGCAATTTCGATTTTCCCGACACTTTTTTGTCATGTGTCCAGATTTTAAGCAGGAAAAACATCGTTTGGTCTCCAATAGGATCTTCTTTCTACCCGTTATTTCCTGGACTTCTTTGCAGCTTGACGGAGAGTGTGCATGCCCACAATAAACACAATCTTGCACTTTTTCGTCTTTCGTCAAAAATGTCTTCGTAGTGCCTTGTGGTGATTTTGGTCCATATCCTGAAGTTTTGTCAAATTTCCTTTCGACGGGCGTGATGTTATCGCTCAGTTCCCTGGCTTCAATTTCCTTTTTGACGATCTCCAATATTTCTTTTATCGGCCAAACTTCCTCGGTCGTCTTTCTGGCGACATGCAATGTAATTTCTCGCGGCATTCTTGCCATAAGGATTGGTACTAATAAACTGCCATAACTTGCAGAACTCATACCAAGGGCTTCAAGCCCCCTTACGTGTACATTTATGCTGTCGTAAATGAAGCGCAATTGCTTCACGTTTTCGTTTGGGCAGTTTTGTAGCCCAAGGAGAGCCTGCATATGCGTCGAGATTATTTGTTGTTTGTTGCCAAACCTTGCCTTCAAAATTTCCATTGCATTTAAATAATTTTGTTCCGTCAGTTCGAGTCCTGATACTGCACGGTATGCTGGACCCTCCAACAAATTCACCAAGTAGTTGAGCTTATCAACTGCAGTTATGCTTTCGTTTTTATCTATGGCATTCTCGAAACTCTGCAAAAAAGACATGAAACGTGTAATATCTCCGTTAAATCGTGGGAGCGTTATTTTTGGCAGACGAATGGCAA